TCAATGGAGAAATAAGTGTTGTGTAACTAAAGAAAAAACACATATAGCAATAAAGCTTAAAGTGAAAAGGATTAAGGATAAATAGTATTAGGTAAATACTAAACGGATACATAAAAAATAAAAGCAGATACTAGCAATAAAGCAGGAAGCGGATACTAGTGATAAAAAATGAAAAGTAAAGAGGGCACAACAACTAACCGGTAAAATACTACACGGCAAGAACAAATAGTGATAAGAAAGCTAGTATATGTTTTACTTCCATACTACTCCACTATCATAATTCTAAGCATCCACACCCTCCTATCAGTGGCCATATATTCTAGAAAAGAGTTACTTCTTCAAGTCTAACCTTACATTATCTTCTAACTTCCTTCTTGGGTGTCATTTCCTCCTCACACCTCTATGGTGACCTTCTCCACCTTCCTAGCCATAAAATTTTAGTTGTCTCTTATGAATATAACATATTCGAACAAACTTTTCTTTCCTACATTTTCATTATAGTGGGTGTAATTCTCAACTCTCAATGAATTTTTGATTCTCAGTTTCGCTACCCAATCCAATAATGTTCTACTATATGTCTAATTCAGCATCTTCAGTTCCACAACCTTTATCTTCCTCTTGCGTTCCTTTTTAATCATCATTTAAATCCATAGAACATAGTTAGTCTTACAATATCCTTGGTCCTTCTTGTAAAAATCATGTATGTGCTCTCTATTTTATAGACTTGGCAATGAAGCAAGTTTTGGCCTTGATTTTATCGAGCACATAAGTGTCATAAGAGTTTAGATCTTAATTTTTTATTCGTATACTCGTTAATCATTTTATTAAAAGGTTTGAGTATGGATCATTACCGATCTACTTCATTTAAAACATGCCACTTATATATATTAGAACTACAATGCTTAATTTCCCCAATCATGTTGATTCTTAATTTCAAATCCCAAGCCCAAACCACTAAAGGGAGGACCGACTACCAATAGATAAGCAGACGAGAACTCGATAATTCATTCTTATTTTGGTTTTCCAAACCTTTTGGACCAATTTTCTATTTATAAATCATCAATTAGCAATATGGATCACAATCGAAAATCTGATATTCACATTCACAAGTTATTCTAGCATCTCATCTAGAAATTGTAATCGAATGCTGAATTTGTTCTTGTACTTAGACTCTATGACTCGCATCATGTTGAATCGCATACCTCAACTTCTTAACTTTACATGTCTACATGCTCTGATTCTTGTTTGATATAGTAGACATTTATTTTATTTAAGAAATTTTATTTTAAATATGAAGTAAATGTGATGCATGTTATATTTTATAGATAACACTTTATGGAATACAAACATTTTTGTAATCGTAATAATGTAAATGGGTTGGGCTAAGAAGTTGAATACTCATTGATTTGGGGATAAAGGTATGGGTTCGATTATTTAAAACCTTATGTGTTATGGATCAAGGTTGTTTCTCTCCAAACCTACTCTATTGCCAGGACATGACTTTATGAAGTGGTAACGTGATCTTCAATACCGCTTCCTTATGGATCATAGACCCTAATATATGGAACTCTTTCCCTTAGTTAAAGTATTTTCTTACTAACTTGGTTTAAAAAACCATGCTCATGGCCCGATACACACTAAGGTGTAACTATAAATGCATTAAACTAAGTGTTGTGATTTGATATCTATGATTCGAGTGGATGCATATGCATCAAGGTGAATACACGGAATCTCACATTTATGCATCCAAACACCTCATGGACTGGGATCACATAATTTATAATAAAAAAAAAGTAACAACTAATTAAATATCTGATGTAATTGTTAAATTAAAAATCGCAAGTGTAAGAGAAAAGAATATATATATATATATATATATATATATATATATATATATATATATATATATATATATATATATATATATATATATATATATATATATATGTTCAGGTTCATTTGAACCCATTCGAATTTTGTGAGACCGTGAGACCAAATCTAAAAATAATTTTAAAATGTAAAATAAATGGGAAAATCCAAAAATTCTTTTTTTAAATATTATTTTCGGAACTTGAATTAACTAAAAAAAATTAAAAATAAATAAAAAAAATCCCTTTTTTTTGAAAAATACGTGAAATATTCTAAATGCAAAATAAATGGAAAAATCTAAAAATTTTTTTTTTAAATATTATATTCGGAACTTGAATTAACTAAAAAAAATAAAAAATAAAATAAAATAAACCCTATTTTTTTTAAAAATACGTGAAATATTCTAAATAGAATATTACACTGTGCATATTCTAAAAATAATTTTAAAATGCATATTAAATGGAAAAATTAAAAAAAAAATAATATTATTTTCAGAACTTGAATTAACTAAAAAAATAAAAAATAAAAAAATACGTCTCACGGTCTCACAAAATTAGACCGTCTCACATGAACCTAACCCTATATATATATATATATATATATATATATATATATATATATATATATATATATATATATATATATATATATATATATATATATATATATATATACCATTTTACAAACTTTTACATTTTTAGTCCCGTAGTAAACTTGTGTTGGCCTTCATTTAGACACATCACTTTCCAAACTTTTACATTTTTAATATCTTATTTGCTGCCAGCTAAAAATACAATATTCCTATGACTTTTGGCTTTTGTTTTCTAAATGTTTCCACAATTTAAAAAAATAAATAAAAAAATAAAAATAAAAAAAACCCGAGACGAAGCCAAGGCTTTTTTACTAGTTAATAATAAATATAACACAATAGCTATCAAACAAATAAAGTTATTCAAAATACCTATTTGAATTTTTGTAAGTTTTCTATGTTTATAAAGGTCATATATAGTATATGATTAGGATGTTGATTTGTAATTATATATTTTTAACAAATGAATTTGGTTTTTCTTTTTCTTTTATTAAATAACAATTAATAAGTAATATTAAACCATTTTCCTTTAAAGAGTGTTGTGGTACTTTGAGTTTTTGAGCTCATAACCAACTCTATCATTCAAATTTTATCATATCTAAGTTCTATTAATCTAACGAGAGGAAGAGCGATAGAGAAAAAAAAAAGTAAGAAAAAGCGAAGAAATTTACAAATTTAGCGGGGATGAGGGACATAGAGCTCATCAACTACCGAGGTTGCTGGTCGGAATGGCAGATCAGCGAACAAGAAAGAGGAGAAATAAAAAGTGCACATCTTAGTGGTTCTTTTTTGTCCCAATAATATATGATTACTTTTTTTGTTTTCTTAGAGTTTTAGTTTTCTTAATCAACCTGGAACCTAATTTTTCTAGGATTTGTTTGGTTTTTCAATAATTTTTTGAGATTTTGTTAACTACTAATCTATTTTCTTACCTATTATCCCGATGTCTAAGGAAAGATAATGATATAAAATTGATTTTCAAGCTTTATTGAAGTTAATTACTATATAATCTAAAACTAATAATTTTCTTGAATTGCATAGCATGTATGAAGATATATCATGAATAAATAGGGGCCAAAAAGTTATGAAAAATTAAGACTACATCTATATACATTTATTTCAGGTATAATAACATCAAAAATCAGGGCCCTAACGACTTTCCGCCCCAGGGTCCCAGCAACCGCTCTCCACGCTTGTGTGCCTCTTTCCTCTGCATCCAGCTCCCCATCCAATTTGTTTTAATTTTCTAGACTATTTCAAGGTTGTCTATGTTAATGAACTTTTGAGGATAAGATATTGAATTTTTTTTATCTCTCTGTTTTTGCTTTCCTTTTTCTTTACTTTTACAATGCAGCATTTCTACCAACTTATGCATTTTCACTTTTTCTTGTGAATACCTCAAAAGAAAAGTCCATCATTCTTTATTTAGTAATCAAAATTAATCTCTATGCATGTCCCTTTTTCCCAAAAGAATATAGCAATCACTTTTTACGGTAACTAAAATCATACTATACAATGCAAAGGTGAAACAAAACTTATATTCTAATTAAACTAATCAAACCAATTTCAAGCAGAAACAAACTTAAGTAACTCCAAGATTATTCCATTTTTCGTCTCATGATAACAAGGATCACCAAAAGACCCTAATTAATTAAGAGGTTAGACCTACGACTAGGTAGAATCAGCAAGGTTTGAATCCCATTAGGTAGCTATAACTCCATAAAAGCCAAGCAGAGGCACCAGAAGGACTATACATAGTACTAGATACCATGGATCTGTGTGATTTGCTATTGTAATTAAAAGTAATTAGTTATTATTCTGATTCATCCTATTTATAGAAGCAATCTAGTCTGAATCCATACATTCTCTATTCAATCACTTTAAAAACTTATCTCCACACCTGAAATTATAAGAAATTCTGCATTCTATAGGAAAGGAAGAGTCAAATATAGTAAGGGGAAACATACACAAGTAAGCAACTCTGTCATTATCCATCTCGATCTCATTGGCAACCCGAAGGATAGGACCAACAGCAGCAAGGGAAGAAGGGACAAGCTCGCTGTCAACAGCATCGAATTCAGGATCACCCATATCGGAAGCCTCCGTCATCCTCCTTGACAATGACCTCGGTGGATCCACCTCATCTTTGGTCCCACTCGTACTCGCCATTCCTGCCCCCCAACTCCGTCAGCACCCCTGATATCCACCTGAAACTTGTTGGAATTGTCTCTCCATCCACCCTCAACGCTGCTGAAAATTTGTACACGAAAACAATGTTTGTATCTCTTAATATTGATATATAGAGTGTGTAAAGATCCTTTGCTTGTTAATTTGGGGAATTACTTAGCTTTTAGTGCGTTCACTGATAGCAAGTAAAGAATGAAGCATTTCTCAACTTTTTATGAAGGTAGGGACGAAGAATATATATATATATATATATATATATATATATATATATATATATATATATATATATATATATATATATATATAGAGAGAAAGAAAGAGAGAGAGAAAGAGAGAGAGGGGAATCATCATTTGAAAATCCATATTTTCCCGAAAACCCAAGAACTAAAAGTGGAGCGTTTGGATAAAAAAAAATATAGCCAAGATGCATTGTGGTATTTTTGTAAATACATAGACAAAATAAGACACGGGAGTATGATTTTAAAATGAATCAGGGGCATTTTAGGAATAAAATAATTCTTTTAACTCTCTCTCTCTCTCGTCTTCTTCACCGAATCACCTCCCTGGATCGACCTCAATCACCGATTTCCTCCATGATTTCCATTGCCTAACGCCGCTACCGTAGATCTGGAAACAAAATCCATTTCATCGATCCATTATATCATAAACCGATCCCAAATGAAGATCCCTAATGATTGATAGATTGAACTACATGATAGTTGCGTCCTTCTTCCCTCTCAGAGTTTCGTGCCTTAATAAATCAACCAGAGGTCCGATCGCTCCAAACCTCTTGATTCAGAGGTTCAATCGGTGTCGGCGATGTTCAAGTCTTCAACTGTGTTTCGATTTCAATGAAATCAGGTCTCGCTTCACTACTTGGACATTTTAGCAAATTATAGGTCTCGCTTATTAGGACATTTTAGTAAATTAACCTAATACATAGAGTTCAATGTTTGAGATTGGAATCAGAGCTCCTTTTTGCTACAGATTCCTAAACTAGATTTTGAGTTCCGACTTCATGTTAATGGTGCTTGCATTTTATTCTTCTTAATATTCAGCTTTCTAAATCAATTCAATTTGAATGTTAACAATGTTTACCTTTTTTATTGTTTTGTAGATCACTGCAGATGGTGAAATAATCGGACTTCATCATTTTAAGCATATCAGGCCTTTGGGAAGTGGAGATACTAGAAGGTATATTGTTTGAATGTGTTCATTGACTTTTCCAATTTCTATCATAAATTTATAATCAATTTGTTTACAATTTTATAGAGTTAGGGTCTATAGAGTTAGGCTTTTTAGTAAAAAATTACAAGTTTAGTTTGATTTCCATACAATGTTGGAATAAAAATCTAATTTGTATTGGAAATTAAAGTAGAGATTGTTGAAGGAATGGTCAGTTCATGAAGTTGAGTACCATAAGAACACTATTTCTGATCTTGTTGGGGAAAAGAAGAAAGTTGAACAAGAGATTTTGATCGTCAAAACTAAGTTAAATACATGTAATAATAAATGGGGTCAAGAGCTCTCTAGGTTCAAGTGTTGTTAAAAGATGAGTCTTTATTCACTTTGTTCAAGAGAAGTCTTGAGAAAAAAAACCGAAAAATTAAAAGAAATTGATTGTGTTCTCGAAGACATAAAGGGTAGTTTTGATTCAGAACAGTTTCAAGAGCATCATTCAGTTGAGGTAATAATATCACTAGTTCTTACAATTTTAGTTATTTAGTTTCATGCTTTTGTCTCTTTATCTATCTCATTTCTTATGATTTATAGGAAAGTTGGGATGTTGGATTTGACAATGATTGGAACATTGGGATGCTTGAAGAGTTCAATGCAGAAGATAGTGACGGTATTATTATTGGTTCACATGTTGGAAACACTTTGCATAAGTTGAATCCTAGAAACCAAATTCTTGGTGACCAATTTGGTAGTTTCTCAATACTGATTGATGACATGATTGCATCTTTATTGAAAAAGGTGGAGGTAATAAAGAATACTATGCCATCTTTGGTTAAACAAACAAAAAGAATTACAAGGTGAACTAGAGAAAGCTAGATTAATGTATGATAAAGCCAAAGAAGATAATGATGCATACCATGGAAGGGTATCTAAATTGGAGACAGAATTAAAAGCATCTGGAAACATGTGCAAAGAGATAAGCTCTAAATTAGTAGATTATCGAACAAAAGAGGATAATTTGAATGAAAGAGAAAGGGAGTTGTCTGTTCAAAATACTTCCTCCATTAAAGATCATGGTAAGCTTTTTTATTTTTATTTTTCTTATTATAATCAAACATTCATTTCATTATAATTTCTAGTGATTAAGGTCATATACTCAGGTAGTGTTTTGTTTTGCTCAATGGAATGGAATGGACCATTCCGAAAGGAATCATTTTGCTAATTTTCATTTCTCAGCCAGGGAATCATGGAATGACATGAAAATTTTAAATAAAACCCATTTTTATATATGTAATTTATGATGGCAAAAATATTTATATTACATCAACTCAGTTACATTTATTTTAAATAAACAAAAAGTGTTATTTTTATCATAAATTATTTGGGTTTTAATGTATTTTTATTATCGTTATTGTCTCATTGAGTGTTTTTTCTTCACTCCATCGTGGAATGGAATGATAATTGATAATATATATCCCATTTTCATTTATGTAACTTTTAATGACGCAAATATTTTTGAACTTTCATTTATTATTTTACTTAATTTTCAAGTTTCTTTATTTAAAAAGAACTAAAAAGTATTATCCTTTATTATAAATTATTTGAGTTTTAATGAACTTTATTATCTTTAACTTTTTATTTGTAACTAAAAGTTCATCAACTATTTATAGAGTTAAAATTATTTGAGTTTTAATGACCTTTATTATCTTCAATGGTAGTAGCCTCATACTTTTACTTATTTACTTTACAAGGTACGAAAAAGATTATATATTTACATGTGAATTATATGTGATTCACATGTAAATCACATATTAATCACATGTGATTCACATATTAATCACATGTAAATCATATATAAATACTATATGATTCACATATAAATCACAAGTGAATTAAATATGAATTACGTATATATGGACACAATCATATGTTAATCACACAGAATCACATGCAATTCACATATTAATCACATTTTATTCACATGTAAATCACATTTGATTCACAAATAATTTACATGTAAGTCACATGTGATTTATATGTGAATCGCATGTGAATTACATATGATTTCATATATAAATGTGATTCATGTGTGAATTGTATGTGATTCATATGTGAATCACATGTGATTCATATGTTAATCACATGAAAATCATATATGTACTTTCGTAAGTGTTTTTGCATCAATCAATTTTTTTTCTTTAGATTTGGAAGAAATTGTGATGAATATTGAAGAGGTGTAAATGATAAATTGAAAAAAAAAAAAATAAGGAAATATTGACATGAAGACATGAAAATGCTTTGTAATTTGTATATTTTTTATTTTATATACTTTATTTTGTATCGAACAAAATACTTGTACTATTATGTTTATAGATTGATTAATAAAAATAAGATTTTTTATGATTTACTTACAAATATTATAGTATAAGAAATATGCATATATGCATTTAAAAAAATATGCATATATGCACCGCACCTAAAACGTTGATTTTTTTTTTGTTAAAAGATATTAGGTTTTTTTTATTCTAGTTTTTTTTAATTTACTGATTTTTAAAAATTTATTTTTTCAAAAAATGCAGTTTTTTTAACAAAATTGGAGTTTCTTGAAAAAGTTGCAGTTTTTTTGAAAAAAATTCAATTTTTTTTAATTGCAGCTTTTTATTTTTGAAAAACTTGCAGTTTTCGTAAAATAAAACGGTTTTTTTTTAAAAACTGTAGTGTTTTTTAAAAAATTACTTTTTTTCAAAAAAAATTTAAATTCAAGTTTTCTGAAAAAAATTAAAAAATCTCCATTTATAAAAAAAATCAAAAATTATTTTTAAAAAATCCGAAATTTGATTTATTATGTTAATTGTGTCCAATAACACAAAAAATAAACATTAAATGAGATCTGTAAGATTACGATCAATCCCTTAATACATTAGTTTTGATCTAACGTTTCACTTTTAGTTCTCGGAAAACTATGAGTTTTCAACCGATCTCATCACTATATATATATATATATATATATATATATATATATATATATATATATATATATATATATATATATATATATATATATATATATAAAGGGAAGGGTTATATGGAAAACAAAAAAACCCTAAAAAACTCCTAAAAATCATAAAAATGCATAAAAAATAGAGATCACAAAACTTTTTTTTAATTTTATATATGAAAAAATCGCATATTTATTTATAAATTCACTAAAAAAAATAAAAAATCAATTTTTTTGAAAAAAAAAATAAAAAAATCAACGAATTTGTAGTAAAAGGTGCGGTTTTTTCAAAAAAAAAGTTTTGTGATCTATAAGTATTTTTTATGCATTTTTATGATTTTTAGGTTTTTTTAAGGTTTTTTGTTTTTCATAATATATATATATATATATATATATATATATATATATATATATATATATATATATATATAATGTATGTTCAAATGAAAACATTTTGTAACATAAGAACAACTGAGAATAAATTTCAACCACAAATTCACTATACATCTAAACTACTAATATATTTATTATCTATTATATTTTTATTAGAAATAAGCTCTATCCACATACCCACCTAACAGTTATCACTCCCTCACCATAGAAACTTATTGTATTCTCGCTCATCTTATTTAAAGTTACACCACTACAAAAACCACCGGACCACCATACGGCCGCCGTCGCACTACTTTATTGCCGTCATCGGACCACCGTACTGCCCCCGTCGGAACCACCGCATCATCGTTGGTATACCATCGAAACGACTGGAACACTGTCGAAAAGACCAACACATTGTCGGAACGTTGCC